CGGTCAAAGTACTTGTCCCCTAGCTGCAAAGGTAGGTGAGACGTTTCTATGAACATTCTTTTTCAGTCATGGCAAACAGCTTTTAACTCCTTTCAGGTGTCGACGCTGGATATGGACAACACGATTCCACCGCCCGTTTTGAAAATGTAGCCATTTGCACTGATAAGCAGCAAACACGTGAAGCATTATGATGACCATAACTTACAAAATACTGTCCGATTGAGATATAACGTCATTGTACAAAGCACGTTCTATAAACATACCAAATTTGATAACGAATTTTCAAGATTAGGCAGTGCTTCCACATCTGAGGAAATTTCTTATTTTAATGAAAATGAAACATTTCAGGAAATTTAAGGAAAATCCAAAATGTGAAGGAAATTGAAAGGAAATTAAACCAAAAAAATGTGTCCATATGGCCCTTTTTGGTGCCTCTGCAAAACAGCTGCAATCTCCTTAAAATCGTGCCAGCGAATGAAAACGTTGAGAACGCAGCGAAGCTTCAAGGGGACTTTCTGTGGAAAAGTGAGAAACTATTAAACATGAAGCGATATCGATTTTATGTCATTACGTTGGTGATTTCAAATAACAATGTGATTTCGAGTTAGCAGGGTAATAAACATGTTATGGGCCAGTTTAAAGCGTTTAAAACCGACTAAAGGCTCTAGGCAAAAGCGAGGGCCATTATACGTGACCTTGCCCCTAGCCGTTTTTCCTTCCGTCAGTAGATTTTCGGACCTTTTAAGTCAGAAAGTGAGAAGTCAAAATTTGAGAAACTTTCAACGATTTTGTTCAACACTTTTATTTCCCTTAGCGCGAAGTGCTAAGAATCCTCCCTAGATGAAGAATGGCGCACGTTGTGGTGCATAACGCAGCAGTTTTTAATCGGCAGTTTATAATCTCCCACGTGACGGGCACCCGACCAAAAGGAATGGGTAAACTGTCTCGGGTGTTTATGAATAATTGTTTAAGGAAATCAAATCAGTAAACTGCTAGAAAATTTTAAGAGTCATTTCGTGTAAATACTTCATATAAGTGTCCGCGCTCAAACAATCGTGTTTTTTTAATTTTTTTTTTAAATACTTTTTAGGATGAAAGGACGTTGGGAGCAAGTAACCAAAATAGAGTTTTTAAACCGATATTTTTGCCCGTTGCCATGGTTACGGGCCATTATGTGTTTTGGCCATTTTGGGGCAATTTGAGGCTGCAAAAATTATTTTTTTGCGTTATTTTCAAAAGTCATCAAGCCGAACTGCGAAGTAATGTCACAAAAGTAACTATATCACGACAAAGTATCATTCTTACCCTTACAAGAAAAAAAAATAGAAACACTTCTGATAAATCTCCTTTATATTATTTTTAGGCCCACAGCATGTTTTTACAACTAGCAAAATTGCATTTGTTACCCCATTTTTATCCCACCAAAATGGCACTAACCATGGCACTCAGAATAACTTCCCTTCGGCCATGGTTAGTTCAAACGTTGGTCTTTTCATATCTGGTGAGAAAATTGTGGGTTATTGTATATCCTTTGTGCAGTAGCGCTCCAAATATGGTAAATTTCACAAAAATCTTTAAAAATGTATTTTCAGTGTTTTCATTTGTTTTGAGTAATAACTTGTATTGTTCATGAATCTAGCACATTTCCACAAACAGAATCAGACTGTGTATCATTTTTAGACCAGTGGATGAATAGTAGGTCGTGTACTCCCCCCCCCCCCCACTCACCTGGCTAGGCCCTGCCCACTCCCCAAGTGCCACCGAATTTTGAATTGGAAGTTGCATAACGAAACAAATGTAATTAAATAATATGCAAGTGAACACTTTAGAAATTACATAGACTTCCTTTTCACAGCATCCCCTCCCCCACCCCGGGGGCATTGCTTGGGGTTGAGGGTGGGGTGTGACCACCCACCAATAACTTGGCAGTGTTGGTAAAATCATTGTCACATGGGCAAAACTCATGTGTTTGCAAGCCGCAATGAATAATAATGGCCATATCCATTGTCCTCTGATTGAAGTGCACCATTATTCAAGTGATGTCCAGTCCTCTCCTCCTAGCTAGGCCTCGCCCCTTCACTTTCCACCAAATTGAGATTTTGATTTCTGCATGTATTTGCCTAAATTAAATTGTAAATACTAGATATCAATTTGCAAGTGCACCTTTTTACAATCTACACAAACAGCCGTCTCACATCTAGCCCCTTCCCCTGCCACCCCCACTCCCAAAGCTCAAAAGAGAACCACGCCCTCCCCCAACAAGTCAACAAGTACAATGTTGTTCAGATTACATACATGCATATGGCCTTGGGGAAAGTCTGAATTATGTAAGGTGGCTTTTTTACAACACGGGGCAGCTTGGAATATCCGAAAAGCGAGGAGGAGAAGGGGTGTGTATGTCGCGGGGGAGGGGAGGGGGAGTTGGGGGTGGGAAGGGTGATCTGAACACACGCATGTACACTGTACACATTTTTTATATTGCAATTTACTTTGGAATTACAGTAAAGGTGTGGTGAACAAAATTACGTTTATTTCATTATTTTCAAAGCGGAAAAGATCTGGCGATTTAGAGAGCAACTAACTCCTATTTGTTTATATTGAAATACATGTACTTTAAAACAAGGATGACTCCAGTGAAAACTCCGAGAGAACACAGCACCAATTTGATGGCATGAATTTCACTCTGACTTGTCTTGGCTATATACATGTAGTTAGGATCTGAAGTATTTGTTTAGTGGAAGGATCCTCCAAACTTGTATTTGCCTGATCAACATGAAATTTTGTGACTTTTAACAGTGGTCACCATGGCACCAAACACACTTCTGTAGTGTGTTCATTATTTCATTATTACCATGGCAACCGTTGTAAAGACATCGGTGCTCATAAACTAAAGTCAAAAATACTTCCATTTTCAAAACCTATCACGAAAGTGTTATCTTAAGACTGAAATGCATGGCTATATAATTAACAATAATACATAGTCAATATGTAATGTGGCAGCCATTGGTGCGAGAAGCCTATGTAATTTTCACGTTTCAATCGGTACCATTTTCTTTGTTTTGATATACTTTTCTGATAGTTATTACATGAATCAATCGCAGAGCATTAAATAACATCACCACAATTATGTATATTTACTTTAGTTTTGCCGATTCGGATTGAAAATGCACACATTTTTTTGAATAAAATCAGTGACAATGGATGCATACAATTGCCTGACTGGGATGAATGGTTACACAAAAAAAACAGAATGCCCAAAATGTTATCTAGCCAAGAGTTTGGAAAAAAATATTAAAAAACACCTCTAGTGGTAACAGCAATAGAACCAAGCATGTCATAGTATAGAGTAATGGTCAACCAATATTTTCCTGCCAAATCAGTTGTAGGAAAATCGGTCAAAGCATATGCAAATCAACATGGGGATCACAGTGTGCTGTACCCCTCCCTTTCAGACAAAAATCCCCAAATACCCGCCAGAAAGGGTTAAAATCTGTAAGCACTTTTGCTTCGGTGGGGAAGTTGATATTCTCTAATTAACACATTAACAAAACATTCCCTGCTTGTAAACAAAAAAAACCTGTCATTTATAAGCACCAATACAGTTAAATTACCTGCCATGCAACAATGGATGCACCACAGAAGTGTGGTCATGTTGACTACTGATGACAGTTTGGAAGAGACTCAAAATGTCATGCTGATTACGAAATTACGATTTTGGAGGACATAGCAGCACACACAACGGTACTATATTCGACTTTATATGTGCTCGATCTGACCATATTTACACGTAGGGCCAAGACAATTCAATCAATCACAATAGAGGCCATTTTGAGTTTTCACTGAGTGATAGTTGTTTTAAAGTACATGTATTTTAATATAAAAATATGAGTTAATTGCTCTCGTAATCGCCATATCACTTCTCTGTATTGAAAATAATAAAAAATAAATGCAATTTTGTTAACAAAAATTACAGCATTATGTACATGTACCATTTACATGTTTCCATATAACACCCCCCCCCCCCGTGCTTTCCAGATATTCCAAACAACTCCCACGTTGACAAAAAAAATAGCCAAACCTGCATAGTGCATATAAATATGTGGACTTTCCGCAAGGCAATATGTAACCTTAACAATAATACATGTTGAATTCTTTGGGAGGGGGAGGGGTCGTTGCTCATAATGGGCACTGGAGTAAGAAGAGGGATGGCAGGGGGTGGGCTGTGAGACGGGTACGCCTGTTGGTGTAAGTTATGAAAGCTTCACTTGCAAATCTATATACAATAACGCAAAATTTTCTCACCAGATATGAAAAGACCAATGTCTGAACTAACGATAGCCGAAGGGAAATTATTCTGAGTGCCCTGGCAAGTGCCATTTTGGAGGGATAAAATTGGGGTAAAAATGCAATGTTGCTAGTTGTAAAAGCATGCTGTATGATAGGGCCTAAAAATAATATAAAGGAGATTTTTCAGAAGTGTCTCTATTATTTTCTTGTAAGGGTAAGGATGATACTTTGTCCTGATATAGTTACTTTTGTGACATAACATAACTTGATGACCTTAGAAAATAACGCAAAAAATGAATTTTTGCAGCCTCAAAAATTGTTCAAAAATGGCCAAAACACATAATGGCTCGTAACCATGGCAACGGGCAAAATAAAAGTTTAAAAACTCTATTTAGGGGACTTGCTCCCTAAGTCCTTCAATCCCACAAAGTTAAAAAACAGAATGATTTTTTGAGCGTGGACACTTATATGAAGTATTTACACGAAATGACTCCTAAGCACTTTTTACACAATTTCAGGAAATGTCATGAACAAAAATTTTGCCATATCAAATTTGGAAAGTGAATGCACCTTGATCTGCACAGGAGGAATCCGCGCCCAGCTGTTGAGATCATATACAAAGACTCTTTCAGGAAAGGACTGGTGCGATTGCTTTGATGGCCACGACCCGTATTTGTTTCCACTACCTCCTACTTTTTTTTAACTGCTCTAAGATTGGACTCCTTGGGACGGAAGATGGTCGCATCCCAGATGCAAGCATCACCGCTTCCTCGTTTTGGGACAAGAACCTCAATTATGCAGCCCACAAGGCTCGTCTCATATAACTTCAAAGGTAAATTGTTAAATGTATTGAATTCACGAACCATTACATGGGACGAACTGTAAGACAACTCAAACGAAATGGTAGGATTTACGTCAAAGATGACAAACAAGTCCAAAGTTGAAGAAGCACTACATTCATTTTTTTCTCGGGGCGAGGGGGGTCCCTTCCCCTGGAAATATTATCTCACTCTGCAAGTTAAGCACGGCCCTGCCTGGTAAAGTGCTTGAAGCACATGTGCTAAGACTCACTTTATATTTATGGCTGAATTATCTGCTTATTTTGTAGGCGACCCAGCCTCTTCCTGGTCTAGTGCCGGGCCAGACCTAGTGACCGCAATCCGTGGATCCAAGTCGACTTAGGTTGCATTGTGATCATCACTAGCCTCATCACTCAGGGGCGTGGTGATATATAGCAACGTGGGCCTATAGCAACGATGGCCAGAAATGGACTGACGTCACTGCGGAAGGAGAAAGTGCACCGACAAAGGTCAGTAATACATTACATTGCTGTTATTGAAGGACATAATAAGTCATATTTATGAGTGAATTAGGACGATGCTACGACAGTATTTATGGAGTACAGGCCTAACCAGATGTAGGTCCAAGGCTATTGACCACGATATATCAATATTTATGCTGCTACATTGTAAACAAATATACCTTCATAGGCCCATTCTTAATGTTTACATTACACCAATGTTGTTATACTGCTTCAGTAAGCAAGATTGTACGCAGAGCTCTAATATTTCGCACGGAAAATAATTATATTAATTTCTTGAAACATTGAGGTCAAATTTAACTTTCGGTCATCTGCGGCGAATTTCTATGATGTCAAGTAGTACGCTACCACCACCTGCTCTATCATATGAAAGAGGTTGAAATTGGAGTTAGCACTGGGAACGGGGTCGGGGTGTGTCCTCCTTTATTGTAAAAAGATCCTCTATAATGTATAGTACTGATGTCAGGGGGACATCACACCAACAAAAAAGAAAAACTAAATTAAAGAAACTTAAGCAAACAAGAAAAAAGTATCAGAGACAATGTAGTCTTACAGAAGAGGCAAATTTTTGGCCTATACATATTCAAATCTCTCCTGTGGCCGACCAGAAATAGGTCCAGACAAAACTTCGGTGAAACACTGCTATAATAACTTCCCAATGCACATCCCTACTTCAAAATTACTTTAAAAAAGCCTATCCATATTGTTTATTTCTTCCAGTTCCCTGGAAACTCGGACAAAAACACCCACGTGACCACCACTTTCCCGAAGGCTTTCCAGGCCAGGTTCCTGCGTATCCTGTCTACTCAGTGGAGCATATACTGCAGCATGCGCTTTGAGGTCCTCGGCTGCAGAAGTCACGAATAAATTCCGTCTAAGTTTGATTCGGAAACCCCCGTTACAATGCTCATTAAATATTTGATTGACTTTAAAAACCCAAACAAAAAAATAAACATTAAAAAAGGTAAGAGACATTTGCGCTCAGAAATAAGGATTTATTCCCGCCTCTTACATTCCGAATGAGGGTTCTGACGGACCAGTCTAAAAACTCTAAACCAAGATTTATGGCATAACCCCCAACTTTTAGTGTCAAGTTTCCAATTACCATTACAGCTTGGGTTTTCCAAGTCACACCGACGTGGGCAAAACTGATGAAACTGATAGTTAACAATAATTTACATTATTTTAAAGAATTATAAAGATTTAGAGTGGCACAAAATATTAAATGTAATTGCATGTATTTACATATACAGCATTATTTTTTGCATGCAGTAGATTATAAAAGTAGAATATTGTGACGGAACACAAACTTTATATTCGCCAAATGTATGTTCAAGAATCATAGACCATGTGAGTCACCCACACTCTGCATATTGAAAAATCAAGGTATCTGATTGGTCAATTGAGAATATGCATTATTGTATGGCAAAAAAAGTACTTGCCCCATCGTGTTGTGAGCTATAAAAGCGGCTGTAGGGCAAGATTTCAGTCAGATTATTAGAAGATAATTAAGTGATGACAAGATTTTTGTTTTATTTCCTACTGATTGGGACAATTATTAGCTGTTCCCAATTCCAATTGGAAACAGCTTTTGTTTTTGTTCGAAGGAAAGCTGGTACCCCACGTCACAATGTAAAAGTGCACACAACAAATAATACCTACCATATCATACTTATGTATAGATCCTATGCACTCAATAACCATCTTTGAGGTATTATTTCAAGTTAGTAAATGTGAATGCCCAAAAGGTCTACTCATTGGGTCCATGAGGAACACAATCACGCACCTGAAACATTGCTGCAATGCAAATGATCTATCGTATAGTGTACAGTTAACACCGTGATTTTTGGGTGATCCAAATTAAGAGATTTGCTCCAATGGCAAACAATAACAAATCGTGACAAAGTAGCTGTTTGGTGTAAGACGTGTATTTTATCATTTGCTATAAATATCATTTGCTTTAAATTATAGACGTGTATTTATGACACATGCTTCATGTCTAGTAGCATACGATAATGAAAGGCATTGAATATAGATTTCAAATATTTACTGCTTTGAGTGTTTTAATCCAATTTATGGCCTCCCTATGGGTGATCCATGAACCATTTTGTTTCCCCGCGGCGACGCCGAGGGGGAAAAACGCCCAAGAATCAGCGAGGAAGGCTAGTTAAAACAGTCAATATTTGGTTTACAACGTGCATACACTAAATCTAATTTTCATTTAGAGATATCTGATTAATAAAACAAAAATCCAATACAAAAATCTTGATATGACAACAGTGGATCATTTAAGAAGGTTTCTAGCTTATTCCAAAATGGTTAGACCTATGTTTTACCCTACTTTTACTAACGATATCTAAAAGGGGCTGTGTTACCCTGCTTTTGGTTTACTGCTTTTACTTACAATTTTCAGGCCTCTGTTCATTGCTCTGTGTATACACTAACCCCGGATTTAAATTCCAAACCCCATTTCCTACTGTTGTTGAATGTACTAGTTTTGAGACCTGGACAATATCCTGTTGGCGTAATTTCCACACGATACTGAACCTAGATAAAACCTGGTCGACCCAAATAAATCCGGAATTTGCTGTAATTACATAAAACCCTGCATGGCCCAAATCCAAAAGTTATAGCCAACATTTTATCTGGTTCAGAGGTGTAAACTCCGAAAAGAACTTAAGTTGAGGTGAACAAAAAAACTGACGTCAGCAGTTTTTGTTCTAATTGTTGGTTCCCGTGCAGATGTGTCACACCGCTGCAGGAAAAGGTGGACCCTGGACACTAGAGGAAACTGATTGATCCACATTACGTGACGGTCCTGCAGCGTTTATGTGCTGCGGACGGTCAATGCCATCTGCGCGCATCTTGGTTTCACGGATGCTATAGATCAGTTGTAAACCTATATAAGGCGACTCTGGGACTGATTCGAGATCATTTTGTGTCTCTGATGATCAAGATGAAGTACCTTCTGGTATCTATCTGTGCCGTGGTGGTCCAGTGCTGCCTGTTTGCTGCAGCCGCACACGCCAACGGGGACCCCGACCCGGTTCTCGAAGCAGCTCTGAGTCCACTGTATAGGCAACTTGACGTCACTCGGGACCAACTGGAAGTCATTCGTCACCAACTCGACGCCGTCAAAGCGCTAGTCCATGTACCCTGCAAGAAAGGTAGGTGTGTTTGTCTGTAAATATTGTCAAGCCAAAAAGCAGCTCTTTTGTTGTGTCGATTGGTGATGAGCTTATAGACTGATGTATTGCGGACGCCAAGTTCCATATCAAGCGTTATTTTTTTTGAACGGAATGTCAAAATTATCGAGGCGGCCGCAGACTACTGAAAGCAATTCCCATATAGGCTATAAACCGTATATAAAACGTATTAATAAGTACTAGATATATAATAAAAAGACGAGATCCACAACGCGTACATACGCGCGGCCTGGTTTTGAGGGTCACGTGCTGGAGGACAGATACAAAAAACGCAAGCAACACGTGACGAACGCAACACCGTTTTTTGCGCAAAACGAAAGCACTTTTTTGATAAAGCAAAATGCCAGGAGGTGTTTAAGTTCGGTTAATTTCGACTTCGGTATTTTCAGTTCCGTCACGATATTTGTAAAATGGAAGCATGTGCGGTTCTTCATTGTATCAATGCATGGATTTTGTTTAAAATATATATATTTTTTAAATAGTATGTTTAATATTGCGTAACTTTTTTTTTTTTTTTTTTTAAATTTATTTCCATTAATTACAATATTGCAAATAATTATTACAATGTTAGTTATTACAATGTTTAGAAAGTATACATATAGCAATCATAAATGATATACACAACATTGGTTTTGATGTACTACATGTATATAATGTATGTTAGAACCATAGGTTATAATATATCTGGTGTTATCACTTTGAATATAAATATATAAGTGTGAACAGCAGTAGGCATATTAATTAAAGAAATATACAATTAAGTCATAAAATGTTGCCAGAAGTCTGTGTTTTTCTTTTGAAACTTTGCTCTGAATAAAAGCTCTGTAATAAACACATTAAAAATATTTATCCTTTTATTTTCTATACTCATTTTGATTCTTGCTTTATGTATCGAAAACATTGCTATCGTAATTATTAAATTAATCTCAAGTCTTCTATCAAGACCTGTTAATAGGTTTGACAATGTTGGTGTGATAAAACTACTTTTTGTTTTTCTTGGTAGTAACCTTTAATTGATTCCAAAATTCAATTGTTTGTAAACAAGTTAAGAATGCGTGTTTATAGTCGTCAATCATGTCGCACATTGAGCACAACGGGCTATTCTCAATTTTACATTTATACAATAAATCTTTCGTTGCTATTAAACGATGCATGAATCTGTAATTGAAGTTTCTCAACTTAATTTCTTTAATGTCGACTATTTTCTTTTTCCATGTGGAAGTCCAATTAATCTTCTCACCAAGTACGTTTTCCCACCACGTTTCAATCTGAGGTGTTTTACTTCTTTCGTCTATCAATATATTATAAATATTTCTAGTTGTAATGTTTTCTAGATTACCTAGACTAGGATTAACATAAAGTTTAAAATCAACACCGATCTTTTCTTTACTGTCTACTATAATTGATAACCAGTCTTTTTGTAAGGCCCTTTTCAACATAAGTATTTCGACTAACCAATTCCGTTTTGTGGTCAGCTTTGTTTTAAGATAGTTTATAGAAAATTCCCCTTCTTCGTTAAACAGATCATTTACATAAATAATGTTGGATTTTATCCAATTACGGAAAAATAGTATTTTACCATTGAAAGTTATAAGTTGGTTACCCCATAGCAGTTGTGTTTTTATTTCAGTGGGACTAAATCGTTTCTGCATATCAGGTTGTGGATGTAGTTCCTGCCAACACAGAATTAGTTCTTTGTAAAATTGTGGTAACGACTGTGTTATAGTTGACCCATATTTTGTTTTCCCAAAGTTCATGTTCAAAACTGTAAGGTTGGGACTACATTAATCTAGGAAATATTTACAAAGGGTTTTCCATTTACCGCTTGTGTTGTTTAGTAGATTAACAATCCAGTTGCATTTTAATGCCATGTTATGGGTTTCCATGTCGATGAGGTTCAAACCGCCTTCATCAAGCCTCCGTATGATAGTTTTTCTTGCAATTCTGTCTGTGCGTCCATTCCAAATAAAAGGAAAGACAAATTTGTTAATTTTTGAGATATACTTTTGTGGCGTTGGGATTACAGATGCCAGAAAGGTAAATATAGGTAACGCTAGACTGTTTAATATAGTTACTTTGCCGGGAAGTGTTAATGCCCTTCTCTTCCATTGGTTTATTAAAACTGTACATGTTTTAATTTTTTCTTCCCAAATTAATTCGTAACATTGACTCATGTTTTTTCCAAAATAAACTCCAAGAGTTTTAATTGGTTCTTCTTGCCAATTTATCAATTCAAGCAAACGTGTATCAATGATCAAATTGCCGATAATAAGCCCTTTTGTTTTTTGAAGATTCAGTTTAGGTCCAGCAATTTGCCCAAAGTTTGATACAATACTCATAGTATTATTTATGGATGTGGGATCTGACACAAAAATTGTCGTATCATCTGCATACATTGTGATACGCAAATTTGATGTTTCTGATAATTCAATTCCATTTATGTCTTTGTTACTTCTAATTCTATTAGCTAGTACCTCAGCAACGAGTAAGAATAAGAGGGCTGAGAGCGGACATCCTTGCCTAAGGCCTCGATTTAATGTAGAGAATCCGGACATGTATCCGTTGTTAATAATAGTGCTTTGTATGTTTGTATACAATGTTTTTATCCATTGAATGAAACTATTTCCAAAGTTAAATTTGTTGAGTGTTTCTTGTAGGAAGTTCCATTCAACCGTATCAAAAACTTTTTCATAATCCAGAAAGAGGATAGCAGCATTTTTGTTATTACTGCGTAAAAAGTGGATGGTGTCATCAATCAATCTAATGTTATCTCCAATAAATCGTCCTTTTATATATCCGGATTGGTCTTCCTGTATAATATGGCTTATGACTTCAGACAGACGATTTTTCAGGGCTTTGGCAGCTATTTTGTAATCTATGTTCAGTAGACTAATTGGTCTCCAGTTTTTTAAGTTTGTGCGGTCACCTTTTTTTTTATTAAAGCAGTGATATAATCGCGCGGCGTTGTGAAATAGACAATTCTCCTTCCTTGTAACTTCTATTCATTGATTCAGTATAAAGTGTCTTTATTTGGTTCCAGAATTTGTTATAAAACTCTACCGTTATACCATCTGTACCGGGACTTTTATTGGTTTTTAAGTTGTTTAAAGCTCGTTCATACTCTGCCTCAGTAATTATTCCCTGACATTTCTCTTTTTGTTCATTCTTTAATACAAAGTCAAACTGTGTGTCATCTAGATACTGTTTCACCTGACTTGTTTCAACAGAGTTAGAAGAATACAATTTTTGGTAAAAACTTTTTTCTTCGCGTAGTATTTGCCTTTTGTCTTTAATGATACGATCATTTTTGCTTTTCAGTAAAGTAATGTGTTCTTTGACTGCGTTTCGTTTTTCTAAACCTAAAAAATATCGACTGTTTTTTTTTCGCCGTCCTCGGCCCACTTTTCGCGAGATTTAACCTTTTGACCCTCAATTTCTCGTTCATATATTCTGTCGAGTGCGTTTTGGAGTTCATACACCTCCTCGTTTTCTACGTCACATTGTTTGTTTAGGTAATTTAATCTTTCAGTAATTGAACGTTTAACATTTTTCTCTACTTTTTTCTTTTGTTTTGAGTAATGAATAACGAAATCCTTAATTTCGATTTTACATAGCTCCCAACGGAGTCGTTCATCTTCATATTCAAGTTTGAGTTTGATTGTTGTCTTTTCCAAATGGGATTTCATTGCATTAACAAATGTTTTATCGTCAATAAGTGAACTGTTAAACTTCCAATATCCTGGTCCCCGTTTATCATCACATAAGGTAATTTTTATTGAAATTGCTTGATGGTCTGTTTTAATTGCAGGTCGAATATCACTTGAGGTAACGGTGTCTGCTAAACAACGTGAAATAAGGAAATAATCAATTCTAGTTTTTATATCGAGAGACTTTCTTCTGAATGTATATTGTTTATCATTTGGATGTTGTTCTCTCCATACATCTACCAGAAGTTTCTTTCTACTTAGTTCATTAACATAAGTTGTATCTTGCTTAAGAATTTTTATTCCACCTCCTTAATCGCACTTATAATTTAAAACAGAATTAAAGTCGCCTCCAAGTACAGTTCGTTATTTTTCGGGACATATTGGGAGATCCATTTTTCAACCTTTCTAAAGAAACTTACTCTTTGTTTACACGTATTTGGAGCATAAATATTCATAAAAGATACAGGTTTATCCACAAGTGTTGTATTAATTAAACAGATTCGACCAAACGAATCACAATGAAGCCCATTTATGTCAAAATTGGCTGAGTTTTTAACAATAATGCTGGTCCCGCAACTATAAGAATCACCGTACGAATGAAAGCTTTTACCATCTTGAATATCATACAAATCATGAACTTCTGTTATGTTGTCAGTGACGTGCGTCTCTTGAAGAAATATTATGTTAGCTTTTTGATCGTTAAACCATTTGTATAATGCTAATCGTTTGTTTCGATCTCTTAACCCTCTTACGTTTAAACTAATAACGTGGAGCGACGTCATAACGGTTGGATGATTGAACTACATGTCATTAACGTTACTCAGATTTATTTAGCTGGTGTTATACCTCTTTAACTCTTCTTCATCGGTGTCATACGCCACTTTGTCACGCTGGTTTGAAGATCCTTGGTGGACTTGCGCCCGTTGACTTTGTCGCTTTCTTCTCTTGCTACGTCTCGATGATCGAGCGGTTCTTTCTCCAGTGTGTTGGTCGTCGGCGTTGGGTGTTGTTGGGCTTGGACGTGGTCTTTTTGGTGTGTCGATCTTGTTGTTGGCAGGTGTGACAGTTAGGTTCTGTTGAATGTGGCTCTGGAATGCCGATTCTATTACGCGTATTGCGTCTGCCGTGCTTGGGGTCGTTGGTGCATCAAATGTGCATTCGTGTGGGTCGTCAGCTGGCACTGGAAATGTCGCACTGGATTGTTCATGATGTGGGGGTTTTGGTGTTGGTGTCATCGCCACAGGTGCTTTGTCTCGGTGTCTTCGTACCATGGCGAAGTGTGGACACCGGGGGTCACCCTCCTTATGTCCAACCTGTAGACACTTGAAGCACTTTGGGGGGTTCGGGCAACTTCCTCCATGATGGCCAAACTGGGAGTAGTTAAGACATACATGGTTTCTCATTTCGTCTTCCCTTTCCTTGATTTTTTGTTCTTTGTGGTAGATTGCTGCGTTGAAACCTGCAATCTTCATTCGTTTGGGTAGGGGACGGGATGGTATGGCTATGTATACGAATCGTTTTCCAGTCTTAAAACGGGTGAGCTTTCCATGGCTGTCTCTAGCACAGTCCATCTTGACATCGCATAAGAGCTTGGCCCCATTTTCCTGCAGCTCTGGTGTAATGTCCTCATTGGAAACAGACAGTGGTAGGTCTGATATGATGACTTTGGTTGATTCGCCATATCCCGCTAAGAAGGGGTTGTTGTTTAGTAGACGGATATTTTGGTTCCGTATGGTTATCCCGTGAGATAGGAGCAGAGCTCTGGCTTCCACGTTATTTGGATAAAGACGCCAGATGCCTCGAACAAACTGGGCCCCTTCCACGGTGTTATGGCCAGAAACTGACTCGGCAGCGATGCATATTTCGTATGTTGTCAGCTTGGTATTCTCCGTCTGTAGCACTGATTGCAATGCTGGCGTAGGTTGTCATGATCCACAGCCAAAATGACTCCTTTCCTCAATCTCAAACTAAAGATTCGTTAATTGTTAACGTTTGTTGTAATCACTGAGGTCTTGATCTTATGCACTTACTCTGTTGTTATCAGATCTTTTCGTCCATGAAAACGGCGAAAAATTGATCTTGATTCTCTAAATTCTGCGGAGCAGCTAAGAAACACGTCAAGTCGCTTGCGATCCCGGCATGCATCCCTCTTTGATATGATTATGCATCTATTTTTTTTCGAATATTTGTACCATTTATTAAAAACAAAACCAATTTTCGAACATGAATTGTTATATTACTATGGAAGCGATTTTTCCGGAATTTCCCGGGTAAAGCTTTAGTCCGTGGGCTACGGGGGTCCCAGTGCAACCCCCCCCCCTCCAGAACCCACCGCCACCGATATCTTTGTGATCCTTGGCATGTTCCAAAGAGGAACACAGATGTTAACAGTAATAATTTAGGGATGAACCGCCTCCGATTGAGCTTATATGCATTTTCTTAGCACTAGGGTTGAAAGGGGAAGAAATAAAACGCCATCGCTAACCACACCATGACTGATCTTTATCAAACGTAGGCCTACCACAACTAATCTTTATGAATAGCTCTTTCAAAATATATCGTTGGTTGTCATGGAAACCAAATGAAGAGGGCGCAACAAATATATTACACATTTATTTTGAAAACTGTCTGACAATTTCTCATTTTTAGTCTTTGCACTTTACTGTTCATATTAAAAGCCACCAAATCCTAAAAAAAACCCACCTAATCTATGATAATTTATCTATACTGTAAACAATTCCCGTAAATTTACTGTGCATTCCCCGATTGTTTACGGTTTTGCGCCGTGTTTGGTTGAACTAGTACTGTGAAGCGAAGTGAGTACTGGTCCGAATTTTATGTTCTTGGTATCAAAACATGCGCAAGACTCGAGGCTAGAAAGTCAGAACAGCTCGTGTCGCGAAAGTAGTTTTTTTTTTCTAAGTCTATCGCGGAAAAAAATGAGGGGGGGGGGGGCGGGCGGATTCTGCCCCCGGCCCCTTAAGGGTAAAAAGCAGCCAAGAGAGGGTTTTGTTTTTAGAGCTTGACTGACTGACCGAATTTTACAAGCGTGGTCCATAATAGCGAATAGTAGTGCGTGACTAAGACGTGCGAGCAAAAGGTACATAGAGGTTGTTGCGAGACCGGGTGAAGTGATGGTGTGCATTCCGTACTAATGCGAAGTGCTGAGAGAAAGATCGAGGAAGAGAATTATTTTGCAATTAATCATAAGTTTACCAGTTTGAAGGGTGTTAATTAATGTTTGAGAGAGTAGGCCTAAGTGTGTTTAACTTGGCAAATAACGGTGCGGTGTGTTCATGAGGAAGACACAAAGTGCATATCCTAATGGCTCGTTTCTGAGTGATTGCGAGAGAATAGAGATTGTTACTGCTACATCGAACACAGACAATATTGCAGTAACTGAGATGAGGAAGGATGATAAGGGTGTTTTAAATAGTGAATAAAGTTGTCGAAGGAACGAAAGCACAAAGTTTAAAAAGGAATATAAGGAAAAAAAAAACGCTCCCTAGCGTCAAGTCAACCCCCCCCCCCCTTATTCGAGTTAGTAGCACTTACGGTGGCCTGGAAATTTTGGGGAAATGTTGTTGTTGGGTTCACCCTTAGTGCCCCCTCATAACATGCTGGTGCCCCCCCCCCCCCCCCCACACACACACACACCCCACACACCCAGACACACTGAAAAAAATCCTGGCTATGCCGCTGGGCATATTCATATGCGCATTTACGCTTTTATGTGCCATTTCAGTAAAAAGAGACTTGAAGTTCTCTAGATATAGGACTTCACAGTATGCACCCTTAACATGACCTAAGATGACGTCATCTGACATCACGCTTTGGGGACCTTCTTTGGACTAATTAGGCTAAACTTATGCTAAGTTTGATTTATGCTAAGTTGGATTAAGACGTAAGTGACAACATTCTCAGAAGAAAAACAAACACTTCTTTGGATGTTGTTCTGAAAAGCCAAAGCAAATCTTAACGAAAACAATAGCTGTTTTAGGTGACTTGCCCAAACAACTGAAAGGAAACCAGAACACAAACAGAGGCTTTAATCTCTGAATGGTGTCCAAAAAAAAAAAAACAAGCTCCATTTACAGACGGACAAGAGTAACATGTTGATCACTACCTGAAACACCGTCTCATTGAGCGGCAATGTCAATGTACAAAAAGAATCTTCCAAGTTGTATAACAAATTTCCAAGATCAGGCGAAGGCGGAATCCGCGCCCGGCCGTGATGTCCATACAAAAATTATTGCGATTTATTTAATGAACCCCGCCCCATCCTGATCATTTTTCCCCACTACCTCCGACAGATTATTTGGAGTGCTCTGAGGTAGGACCCTTCGGGATGGAAGACGGTCGCATCCCAGATGCAAGCATCACAGCGTCGTCAATTTGGGAAAACTCGGCCGGTTTCGTACCCGCCAGGGCTCGGCTTAACCTTCAAGGTAATTAATTTTCGTTCAACGAATACATGGGATGAAGAACAAGACAACTCAAAAAAATCGTCAAAGGTCACAACAAATGCCAAAAGCTTAAAACACTCCTCGGAGGGATGATTCTTTAAAGTGAAGTCTGTTTTGCTCAACTGTATACTTGCACATTTGTATGGTCAGAAACTTTCACAGGTTTCACAAGTCGCTCATGCAAACATAGCCAAGTTCCTCATTGGCTGAATGTCATAGGGGTGCTAAGCACAACACATGAATCACATAAAGGGGGGAATGGTTACCAGCAAAAAGTATGTGACTGTTTTTCTGCCAATTTTTAATTAGCACATAAAATTTGCCATGCGATACTTTCTCCTTACTATCCGCTTACTTTGCAAGTGTGGCATTTCCCTGATTTAGCGCTTATGGCAGTTTTGCTTAGCACATCAATTTAAAACAAATAGAGTGCAGAATAGTGCCATTCCTCATCTGGTACATCTGTATAACTCTAATCCCAAATGAAATGAATTGATTTTTACCTGCAAGCTTTTATTGTATTTTACAAGTTTTAACGTTATTTTAATACTACCTTTCATTTAAAACAGATAATTTGACTGCCACACATCTTGCACAATTTTTAAATTCATTCCTCATCTGGCTCATTTTTATAATTCTAATCCTAAATAAAACAATAAAGTTTTTTACCAGCAACCTTTTTGAATGTCTTTTATAAGTTTTAACGCAATTTGAATGTCCCCTTTTTAAAGTAAGATAAATTGATTGCAACACAATCTGTAACAATAATATGTATTTCTCTATATGGACAATTTTCTTCAGTCAGATCTGTATGCACAATGTTTTTAAACTTTTTTTTAACTTGTTTTAAATGTATTTTTTTAAAATGTAAATCACGTGCAAATCAGCTGTGGCTGCTATTCGTGATTTTTTAATAAACAATGTTGAATTGAAAAAAATTTAACCTAATGCAAAATGAATTTTGATTTTAGCATATTGCATTCAAAAGATATTGCCAAAGGCTTTAAAATTTGAAAAAAAAAATATATCTAATTACATGATGACTTCATGATGACGTCGTTTTAATTTGTATCTATAACACATCCCGGCCTACCCAAATACCAAGATTAAACCCAATCAGACTGATTGTACATGAGATATATGGGCTTAAAGTAAGCACGTTTACGATGACGTCATCGTCACTGTAACAATACTTGGCAGTGCTCATTATTTAATTGAGTTTTTAGTCTGTACCAAGTTTGAAGCAAGTTGGATTAATACATGTACAAGTCTTACATTTTGTAAGCAGAATAAAATTGTAAATGTTAAAAAATCATTTAAAAAATCGATGACGTCATGGTGACGTCATTTCGGATTCTGCATACTAGTACCATTATCTAGGTATCCACCAAATTTCAAGACGATCAAACTTTCCCTGATATGTGTTTTGTAAATTCGCATTTTTGATGTCGTCATGATGACGTCACACATTTTTTCTAAATGCTGTGCATAAACCTATTCCCTAACATCCAAATACAAAATGAATTTTGAATTTTGCCTGCTGCGTTCGTGAGATATGGCTTAAAGGTCCAAAAATTCGAAAAAAAAATATAAAATCAAACAATGGCGTCATCATGACGTCACCTCAATTTTACCTATCACACATCCCGGTCTACCTACATATTGAGTTTTAACACAATCGGACTTACAGTTCTCTAGATGACGTTACGTGACCCATGGTAACGTCATGATGACGTCACACTTCGGGACACAACTTTGCTATAGGGACTATGCCGATGCTGACTTTTAATGATGTACGACAAAGATAAATGCCAAAAGTGGCGTTGAGAAAAAAAAAACGTGTACAAAGTCTATGGGAATTAGGCGACAAAGAGAAGAAGAAACTAGAGATCTATGTCTGTTTGCAACATATCATAGGGCTTTTCCGCATTATGATTGTTGTATTATTTTATACTTTAAAGGTTATATAAATGTACACGTAAATTATGTAAATTATTTTTAAAATTAATATACTCAAAGCGCAAAGTGCATTTTATGTTTAAGTTTGCGAAATTTTGAATGGGGTGTTCAAGTTTCAATATATCAATGAACCACATTAAATGCCATGCAACATGTTCAGCTTTGAAATGAGACTAATGATCTGGGCACGAACTTAATTGAATAACATGATTGTGTAAAGTTTCAATAACATTTACGGTTATTAGGACATTGAAAATCCGTTTATGATTCCGATGTGCAATCATGTAAATGATAATTGTTTTTTCTTCAATGTTTATGAAAAGTAATGAGCTAGTAGCCAACAGATATAAAATAATAAAAATTAGTTAATGACGTAATGTTGATGTCACTTCGGATTTTGCATATTGATGTTATCTAGCTTCTTACCAATATCATGACGATAGGACCTTCCCTTATATGTTTTAATGCATTTTTGATGAAGTAATCATGACGTCACACACTTTTAATATTTTGGTGCAAAACTTCATGTAACGTACCGCATACAAACACAACTATTGCTTTCCTTTAAATGCTCAAAAACTGGAATTAACCTTTTTTGTTTAGCAAACAAACTCCTAAATCCTAAAAACTTCAATAACAGTGAACATTGAGTAAGCGCTCAATAACACAATTACACATTTACCATGATCCTGGGTCACCAGTTCCATTTCAAGAGCTGTGATCCAAGTGAAATATGGAGTTGGGATCCAGGCGTTGAAGTAAATGTCCAAACGACACGCTGGGGTCCACAACTGGTCCAGTTGACGAGCTTAAATCCAATCGACAGGTTGGTAACCAGTCAATAGGCTGGGAATCCACTCAACAGCTAGCTGAGACCCAGTCCAAGGGCTTGGGTATTAAAATGTATGGGTACACAATATTTGTGTAGTATATATGACTGACATACAATGTACATGTACATGTAAATAATGTACAAGTAGATGTACACACATACGTGCTGTGCATGATAGCCGAGGCATTATCAAACTGAAATTTAAAGCGTGCGTAGGACATGTCCAAGTTCGCTTATTGCCACATCGAAATGTTTTAGACCTACCCTTAGAGCCAAATTTAAGCACAATTAAATAACAGAAGCTTTCAGGGTTGATTTTTCAGGAATTTTCAAAGGAAAAAAATTCTTTTCATTATAACTTCCGGTCTGATGACGTCATCTCTTTTTTTCGCGCACAGGTGTTGTCTGCATTGAGGTCATCACATGGACCAATTTTGAAGTGATTACCGCATACTTTGCCACAGACATCGACTGAAAATTCATTTTACACCTTTTTTCAATCTGCCCAGAGGGCGCTCTAACATGTTATGACGTCACCGGTGTGTTTTTCGTAAAGTACAACCTAGCCACAGACTACCATCGTTGCAAGCAAGTTCACATCTTTTTTCAATTTTTAATTATAAGGCAATTTGAGTTACTTCCGGTTTAGACCGGGAGGAAGGGTCACGTGAATTCGCTCACACGAGATAAAATGAAGATTCTGGATAAATCTATCAATTCCGCAAACGTCAAGTTCGGGTCTCTTACGGCTGATTGAATACTTTTTTTCCAAAGATTTAATCTATTAATCTTTAACGTGACGTCACGTGACCCACAATGACGTCACGATGACGTCACTCTTCTGAACACAACTATGCTGGACTATGCCTATGCTGACTTTAAATGATGTACGACAAAGATTAATGCCAAAAGTCTGGTTGAAAAACGTGTACAAAGTCTATGGGGTTTAGGCGATAAAAAGAAAAGGAAGAAAGAAGAAAGCAACAATCTTAACAAAAAGAAAGGCTTTTCCGCTACTATGCGGAAAAGCCAAGAACATTTTTAACAAAAAGAAAGGCTTTTCTGCAACTATGCGGGAAAGCAAAAAAAAAAAAAAAAAACCTTTAACGAAAACGAAGGCTGTTTCGGCTGTTTAGAGTTAAATTGTTTAGACAAGATTGCTTTAGGATACCCGTTTTGTATGTATGCACATTGTTGTTTATAAAAGAACAGTGAAAATGCCCGCGGGCTAGTTAAGATTCTGTTTCAGTAGCCCGGCTGGCTAGTGATAAAAAAATAGGATAAGGTCAGGTCGAACCTGTAAGCAACATTTTATGCTCAGCAGGTTTGATTATCTGCTTGCTCCGCAGACACAAGCGGCGGGGCCGGAGCAGGCTGGTGTAATGATGGAGCTAGTGATAATACCAATCCATGGATCCAAGCCGACCTCGGCTGTAATGCGACCATCACTGGCGTTATCACACAGGGGCGTGGGGACTACCATGAATGGGTGACACAGTTCAAAGTGGCCTACAGCAACGATGGCCAAGAGTGGACTGACGTCACCGATGATGGATCAAGTACACCAATGAAGGTAGTCCAATCCACTGATCTCTATATAAAAGACTGGATAGCGGTTACGCGGTACTTATTTTTGTGACTCCAGTCGAGTCGAGTCATTTTAAAGAAGTGACTCGAGTCGAGTCGAGTCATTAGGTCGAAAGGTCGAGTCGAGTCGAGTCGAGAAAAAAAATATTTAGCTCGAGTCAATTCGGGTCACGAATATTTGAACACTATTTACCAACATTTATAAAAGGAGGCCATAAGTTTAGCCAGCGTTCGAATCCAAGAGCTTTATAAGAAATCGCCTAAAACTCATGATGAAACAGCGAAAAATCTATTATAAGATGCAATTTTGCGTCGGGTGATACAAATCAAATTAGGTTTGCCCTTCTTGCGTTTACACGTCGGTGAAGGGCAAACTAATTTGATTTATATCACCCCGACCCAAAATTCCATCTTAATGGTTTATGCGGTACCCGCTGCTATGAACATCAGATTCGAACCAGCCAACCGATCCCGTTTGCTCGGTCGAGCGGTAAGATATCTGCACTAGAAAGCAGGAGGTCGTGGGTTCGAGTCCCACCCGAGGTAACACACTGAGTAAACAGTGTTTATACGTCGGTGAAGGGCAAAACTAATTTGATGAAGCGAAAAATCTGGTTCCTGGATAGTATTTTGTGCGTTCTAGAACCATGAGGTGGGAGTCTGTGAAACGTTGTAAATTTATCAAGAGTAATTCGCAATACTTTTCGCAAAGTTGTGTCTTTATTTTTGGGACTCGAGTCTTATTAGCCTCGGTTCGAGTCGAGTCGAGTCTTTTGCTCGCAGTGACTCGAGTCGAGTCGAGTCAGTAACCCTTAGGGACTCTAGTCGAGTCGAGTTACCAAAAATTGTGACTCGAGTCGGACTCGAGTCGAGTCACTGACTCGAGTTATTACGACTCTGGATAGCGTTTAGAAAGCTGCACCAGAACGCCATTTGAAGCTATATTGGGGAGACCGGCTGGTGTTCTAAAAAGGACAAGTTGCCGTATTTGTAACATCGTGGTTCGCCTGGTGACCACGGTTCAAAATTTGTCAAACGTCGTGGTTTACTTTAGCCTTTAGTCAAGGCCCACACACCACCCGGACACGTGACGCACCCCGGGTGCTGGAACGTAAAAAAGACTAGCACGAGCAGCGAAGCAGCGAGGGCCTTAACCATCTCGTGGAACAAATTACTTAATCATTTATTCAAGTATTATGAATGAAGTAATAGCCTTACCAAATCAAAGATATCTCTAGTTTGCATCGGTGAATTACCTTGATTTTGTTTACCGATTATAAACAAGACCATAGGCTTAAAACTGCTATAAAATTTGATTAGCTAGTCTGACTAACTTTTGAGAAAATCAGCGATTTCTTTATGCATAATGTTTATTGGGACACCCTGTAAACCAATCATCTAACGGTGGTTTGCGGTTACCACTGACAGCAGGCGCGCCAGACGACGGCTGATTTTCGATGCACTGTGAACAGTCTATGCATTGTCCACTCGGTTTCGACTTCCCGCAACCGCTTATTTTTTTCACAATTCAGTAAATGTATTGTACACACCCGGAGTTTGACCCAAAAATCCTCTTTTTATCAAGTTCGGCTTGATGTATTTTCATTCTGCGTATATCCTTTGCTGTTGTCGCAAGTTAGACTGATATTTTACTCCAAGTGCGCGTTCAGTTAGTATTTCCAACTGCATGTTGATGACTTTGCCCCAATTACCTTATATGTACATTTTATGCAAATCGAGGTGTGATCTTCTTTTGTTAACGCCTGTGTGTAGTGTGGGCAAGGGGATTCCTAAGGAGGTAATCCTCAATACTGGTTCACTGGAGTACTCACATACTTTGACGCTGTGGATTTTTAGGGGCGGTGTTTTTAGAGAGAAGCATATAGACTGAAGGTGCGGTAGCATGCACAGAGCTATAGCTCCATAGATATAGCGACATAGTGCTAAATCTTATTTTGGATCCTGTTTCGAGAATCCTGTTTCTGGCGATAGCCTAAATTTAAGCGATAGTTGCTGACGTAGTAGGATTTTCGCCTGCTTCTCAAGAGCTGCGTCAGAGCCAGCGAATTTACACCCCTTGATGGTGTTCCAGGCCTTAGGAGCCAGTATATACTGTAAGTTTTGTTTAAATATTTGTTTCATAAATTTAATGTAATTATTTTATTTCTAACACCAGTGAGTGTATCAAGTTTGTTGTATTGTAGCTCGTGCTTGTTTGAATGTGTTAGCAAGGGCAAATCTGCTTTTTGAGACACCTCCCATTTGGGCGGATAGACGTCATTTGTATGACCCAGTTGATTTACTTAAAGTTTAGCCTGAAAATGCTAGGATAGGTGTTTATTATTGTATTTAATATTTTTAGGGCTCCTTATTGCGGAGTTAAATCCATGCCCGGCAATAAGCCATTTGCGAGTTAAATTTGAATAAAATCTGGAACGCTGACTTAATCCAATGCTTTGCACGTGTATACTTTGCATTCTCCCGACCAAAGAGACTGTTACTATATCACGTGATTCGGGGCAAGCCTTATGCTAGCAACCCCCAGCTCCGGCATGGTCTGGTTTCTTTGTGCCATTCTCACCCATTGTGAACGATGTATTGGTACTGAGCGTCTCTTACGTAACTATGCAAGAGCTTGCCCCGAATCATGTGATTAGCAACAGTGTCCTTGGTCTGGAGAATTTTACAGTTACAATGTGCCAAGCATCCTGAGCAAGTCAGTGTACCAGACGTTTTTCAAATTTTAATCCCAAAGGGTATAGGTCACTCGCAAATGGCTTATTATACCGGGATCCGTCCGTTGGCTAGGGACCACTTTGATTCACATCTAACCGTGAGGCCTATCCCGCCAGCCGTAGACGGAGGACGTGGACGTTTGGCCCTCCTATATATAGTTGCCGACAAAGTTGTGTCAGCCACCACCGTATCGTCAGTCCAAGGACAGGTTTGTGGGCCGCTGGACGGAGGCTCCCACACAAGTGAACTGTTCTAGAATTGAACCTCCGGTAACCTTTAGGCTGCAGTTTCGTATTGAAAAGGGGCGTTAAATATTGGAATAAGGTTTTTCTTGTCTGATCAAAATATTGCAATTGTTGAATTGTATTGGCAAATAACTAGAGCCTAGATATTGGATTGGCTAAGCAATATTTCCCCTTTATTTTTTTTTGTGTATGTTTGTAGATGGTGTAAACTAAATAATTGGCTAGTGTACATTTTGCTTTCAACTATTATTGTGTCTGAGCGTACTAAATGATGAGACCGGTGACACATTGCGTTTGAGAGGGATGGGGGACCCGGGTTTGTGACAGCTGTAAAAACTATATCTCCAGCCTTAGGTGAGTGTTTACTTGTATTAGTTGAATGAACATGGACAATATCGCCCCTAGAACTGAATTCCGCGTTGTAAGTCAGGGACTTCCTTCCAGCTGTACTGGCGAGTCTCCATGTCATTAGCCTAGAACTGGATGCTCTTTCTGAAACCCATGGGGCAGGTTTACAAGATATAATTTACCCTTTAATATACCTTAGATTGTATGGTGTTGTTTAGGTTGAAATGTTCCCAATATGTTCAGAATCTGAGCTTTTTAAGACTAAATCTTCAACGATACTTTTGTCGCGGAAGTTGCAGGCCATTTTCCTTTGCTCCGATTTCTTTTGAGCCCGTGTGACGTCACTCATAATACAGCGCGCGCTTTATGCCCGCGCAGAACGTTTGTATATACGCGGCCATTTTTTAAAGACCCATCGCTGTTTTCAGGGCGACATTAGGTTTGTGCGCATGTCCGTGCTTTAGCTCGTATAAAACGCCATCTTGTGGCCGAATTGTATCCAGTCTCGTTTTGCATAAAAAAACAGCTCACCGGGGGACGTCTTTTCAACAACTTTGTTTATATCCCAAAAAAGTTTTGATAAAACAATAAATCGACAAAAAAAGGACTACAATTTATTTCAGATAAGACTGAATTATGCAGTTAAATTGCGAAAATCACACTTCGTGTTCAGTGAACCCACCAGGGACCTCCCCCCCCCATTATTACGCAGGCGAGTCTAGCGGTTTCCGGTTTGCTCTTTTGACATCACCGTTAATACAAAATGTGAGTCTTGCTGTCCAAGGCTTTGTGAGATAAAAAAAACAAGTCACACGCTTACTCAGTCGGTTGGGACTCGAACCAACGACCTCATGTTATAATTTATGCGTGCAGATGTTGATGTAAATAAAGCTAGATCAGAGTCAAACCAGCCACAGACCGAGGCGAGATTGGTGGTCGAGTGGTAAGGCATTCCTTAATCAATTTTCACTGATTCAACACACCGTGGTCATCTACGAATATGCATGCCGTAGGGCGAGGGCTCCCTCTGTCGATCCTCCTGCAACTGCACGTGAAAAACTCGTCCCCATAAACCTTTCAACGCTTGTTTGAATGCTTTCCAAATTGTTTATCTTCACAGTTCTCTGGAAACTCGGACCAAAACACCCAAGTGACCACCACTTTCCCGAAGGCCTTCCAGGCCAGGTTCCTGCGTATCCTGCCTACTCAGTGGAGCACATATTGCTGTATGCGCTTTGAGGTCCTCGGCTGCAAAAGTCACGAGTAAACTCCATCGCTGCTAGCTGGGGAAACCTTATTCAAATGGCAGCAGAGGATGTACGGGAATGTGGGGCTACTGGACCACCGGGGCTAGTGGACTGCTCTTAAAGGGATACCTCGTCCGTCCTGAAATCCACGAAATTGTCACGTTTTAGATTGTTTACTTATCCTATTCCAAACATCTGGTTGAGAGAAAACCAATCTAATGTTTTACCGTTCCCGAGAAAAGACGAAATAAAACCCTGGTTGTTTACATCGGACATGACGGTGCACGCATACATTTTTCCTTTCGTTTCAGTCAATGTACGACACACGCTCTGTATGTAACACAAATTGACACACAGCACCAATGTACAAATGTAGTCTCTTACACATCCCCAAAAGGCGAATATTTGATGGCTGGAATCACAACTAGCATGAACAACCCGACTTTTTAGGGTCGCAAAAGTCGACCCCGAAATTCGTTCTCGCACGCATAACACAAGAATAAAACAAAAACGCCCAGTTTTTAAAAGATAAGTGTGGCCCAGTTGGGCCCATTCCACGATGCAGTATCCCTTTAAGTTTTTTTTGTAGTTTTTTTTTAATGCTCTGCTGTCCTCCATCGGTGAAACACAGCCATGTGGCCTTTGAGCTAGTAGCGTTCTTTCTAAAAGCACAGAGGTTACATGTCTGCCCGGGTTTACGCGGAATAATTCTCACTTTTCTTCCGTTTGCTTGTCATCAAAAACATTCTCCATTTCTGCTCAGTCGCAGCGCTTAAGCAAGGTACGTTTTAATCACGATTCGAAGCATTTAACGTACAACTTAAAATTGGTTGTTATGTGAAGCATTAGCATACAAATTAGGGCGATTCCAAGCAAACAGAGACATGACCCCTAAAATTGAAATTCATTCCTGAGCTTGTTTTTTTTTTACTTTTAAGTTTTTGCTAACACATGAACACTGAAAAATTTTCTGGGTTAATTTCACCCAATCAAGGGTGAAAACTGCAACCACCCAAAATGTGGTTGACCTTTACCCAATTGTTTGGGTTAGAATTTCTGTTAAAGTCAATCAAAACTTGTGGTCATATCTAGCCTTTTTTTTCACACGTCTCTTTTCTGTGTTAAATTTATATTCATTTAATAAAAGCACTTTAGATAGAGTGTAAGCGTGCACCTGCAGTGTTGTGTTGTCTCTAAATATAATTTATTACTGTCAGTAATCTGTAAAGTGTCTCACGGCCTTACATGTATCTGTCAAGACCAAAGTTGTGCTGGTCCCAGAGGACCAGCCTAGTGACAGTTCTCTTAGCACTTAACTAGCACACAGGCACGCACTGACCGACCGACCGGACTGCTTCTTGTGATTTAGACCAAAATAAGCCCGGCCCGGCCCGACCCGACCCGACCTGCATGACCTGACCTGACCTGACCTGAACTGACTTGAACTGACCTGAACTGACCCGACTTGACCTCACTGACCTGACCGATTGTCTGATTTAGACTTAAATAAACCAGACCAAACCAAACCTGACCTGATTGACCTGACCCGACCTTATCCGACCTGACCTAACCTAAATGACCTGACCTGACGGACTGTCTCTTGTGATTTTGACTTGAGTAGGCCCGACCCGACCGGACTCAACCCAACCTGACCTGACTTAACACAGCTCGCCTGACTGACTGTCTCTTAAGATTTAGACTTGCACAAGCCCTATATCGTGGCTCCCAAACAAATGTAACTCTTGAGACCCCGCAGCCCAAATTTGTCTAGGACCATCTTTACTAGACGCTTCCAGTCTTGTTTTCTTTCGTGGTTGTTGCTTACCAACTTTGAGCTAATAGTGAGCAGGACAATCCGAACCCAAAAAGCTGGCAGAACAATTAAAAGCAAATTTTGGTAAGATCCCAAAGAAAAACAACACATTTTCCAAATAAACTCTTACTGGTTTAAGATGTAATTGAAAGAACATTTTCTACAAAATAATTAGTTTCTCCTTCAATGTCACGAGCAAACATGTCTGAACTTGCGTCAGAAGTCTTAGAAGTTAAAACTCCTTGCCTCAAAACCCACTGAAACCCTACCACGAGCACATAATTCCTTTGTCCCCCGTCGAACGTACTTAAAATAAGCATACAATAATTTCCTTATTTCATGAATATGCATACGCATAGCAAGCCGCCACAGAGCTAGGGTTGCAGACCAGTAAATCGGTCCGAAATTGCCAACGCCGGCCAAATCACGATTTGCATGCCCTCAAAATCTTCACTATTTGAGCATACTGTGGGCCATGAACTGGAGGGTTTGTAAAAAATATGGGTGGAAACCGGGCACAGGACTGTGAGCTTGTAGTCCCGTTCAGTTTGGATAAAATTGTGGCCCTAAAAGCGCTCTATTTGGCAATGGAGTGTAGGCATGGTTTTTTTTTTTCAAAATGGCGATGGGCTTCAGGACTATTTATAGGGGTGATCATCTTTGGAAGGAAATTTCTCCTAAAAGTCATCAGTTGATCCCCCGTAAATTGGAAAGAAAATGAAAGATGATGAAATAAGCTTTGATTTGATGTGCGTCTCGAACACCTTGGAGAGTTGTGAGTATTTTCCCCGAATTTCGGAAGTGGGAGCATTTATCACTGGGGTCAATGGAAGTTTATTTACTGGTCTGGAACCTATAATTTCAAAATGGCGTCGTCTATCGTTCGTTGTCAAAATATTCTGCGACAGTAGTTTTTCAGGGCGGCGTGACCGGGGTGGGGGGGGGGTGGGCAGCGTTTCCAAGGGGTTTCCAATGGCGGTTCCGCAACAAATGCGCCTAAATCTTCAGGGGGCCCTGATCGTCATCCGATTACAGAAATTTCGAGCGAAAATGGGGGGGGGGGTGATTTTGGAAGCCGTGCACAGGACTGTGAGCTTGTAGTTCCGTTCAATTTGGATGAAATTGGGGCCCTAAAAGCGCTCTATTTGGCAATGGAGTGTAGGCATGTTTTTTTTTTCAAAATGGCGATGGGCTTCAGTACTATTTTAAAAGATGATCATCTTCGGATGGAAATTTCTCCTAAAAGTCATCAGTTGACCCCCCGTAAATTGGAAAGAAAATTAAAGATGATGAAATAAGCTCTAATTTGATGTGTGTCTCGAACACCTTGGAGAGTTGTGAGTATTTTTCCAGAATTTCTGTAGTGGGAGCATTTAACATTGGGGTCAATGGAAGTTTATGTATTGGTCTGGAACCCTAGGGGCGCTATCAACAAAACAGTTACATCACATCAGCATATCTCATGATATAGGGGAGAGAGGAAAGTCATGAATAAACATGAGACACAATTTTCCAATCAGATCTCCAATTCGCACATTTCTCGACACATTCTGGCAATAATGAATCAAATACCTTCAACCTATAAATACTCACAAGACTATTCATAATTGTATTGTGACCTTGGCCAATGATAAGCTCATTTTATGTCTCCAATCATGATTGACAATAAATACCTTTAATCTTAATCCTTGAATAATCATAGGCTTATTACTAGCGTTGAGAGCTTGCCAATTATACTCCTTATTATGCCTCTCACGATTTAATACACCTTCAAGTTATGAATATTCGTAGGAATATTTGTATTCTGCACTGAGGGCTCTGCCAATGATAAGCTCCTTTTCTCGCTTGTTCCCGCCCCTAGCTGATACAGCTTTACATCTCTTATTCTGCATGTAGGGTAGTCATTGATGTAATCGTTTCTACCTAAAACACAACAAAAAAGGACAGGAATGATTTTTTAAAAGCATTATCAAGATTTTTTATTTATTTTTTCCTGTCAATGGCAGCTTCGTCCTTTTCGGGGTCAGTTAACCCTAAAGGGGCCGGGGAGGGGGCAGAATCCGCCCCCCTCCTCAACATTTTCCGCGATAGCCTCTAAAAAAAAATTGTTTCGCAACCCGAGCTGTTATAACTTTTTAGCCTCGAGCTTTGCGCATCTTTTGATACCAAAAACATAAAAATCGGACCACGGGTTGCCGCGTAGCGAAAAAAATTTCGGCGCTACGCGACGTGAAAACCGAATTTTCGCATATACGTCGTGTACACAGAGCAGAATTGCCATTCGTACATATGAACAATTAATTAGCCATAATTCCAAAACCCTTTGACCTTTAGTCATGACATTTCTTGGGTATGTTTAGGAAGAGTTGCTCTATGCATGTGCTGAGTTTCAAAATGTTTCGTCACTCGATGGCCGAGATCTTAGGGGGGGGGGGGCGGAATCCGCTCCCCGGCTGAGAGATGGTCAAAATAACCCGGCTCCTTTAGGGTTAAGGACTAGACAATTCCATCAAATCCGACGAGTTTTGCCCAACACCAAGCAAATTCTAGGTAGTATTCATCCAAATTCTTCCCACGCCCGAACTCTTCCCAGTTTGGTGTCACTCAAGCAAGAATGTGACATGACTCCACTCAACTTGGTTAACTTAAAGACTTGACTCGAGTCACTGCCTTCCATGTACTTAATATAATTCGAGTCACTGCCTTAGAATATCTAAATGCAACCAGTCACTTCTTTACATGAGTCAATATGACTCATGCCACTGCCTTAGAATGACTTGAGTCAATGCCTAGGCCTAAGAACTATTTAAATTTAATCACTACTTGAAATGACTCAACTTGAGTCACTACCTAAGAACACTAAACTTTACTCGAATTACACCTCAGAACTACTCAAATTCAGTGCAGTGCCTGTCTTAGAACGACTCCACCCGACCTAAGTCACTGTGTAGGCCTACTTACAAAGCCTCAACTTGAGTCACTGCAAATAGTATGACTTGACTGGACTCGCGTCACAATATTCATAGGCTTATTACAAGACTGCTGGGGTCTACTATAGGAACACACACCTTTTATACCCAAAGAGTCGATGATGCCAAATCGCGACTTAATTTACATCTCTTCTTTCCCAGGCATTGAATGGCATCAAATGCTGTCTGAAGTCGCAAAGATTTCGTTCAGTGTACCATTCTTTCTTACGGTGTATATTTCGCTTAAGCTAGAGGGCGCTACTCCTTTTGCAACGTGAACATTTTCATAAATATATTGATATTGATATTGAGGTGATTTATGATGTAGAAATAGTATGAAAATGAGGATATTTCTTATGAAAAGAGTAGAATCTGTATTGTTCAGGTCCTGTCGCCTCCTTGAGATATTTAGACATCGTTGGTGACACTGCTCATGGTAGCCATTATCATAGCAGTTAGGATTTTTTTCTTGCACAAACCTTGGTTTAACTGCATGAGTTTGGATTAAGCCATCTGATTAGGGATAATCACCAGGTAAGACACAGTTAAGAGCCGGTACAGCCGCTTACGCTCTAGCAACAAAGTAGCTAACAGATCGATTCGGGATTGAGTACGACATCACTTGTGGCATGGGTCAACAAACTCATCAACCGTCCTGACACACGAGACAACAAGTCATTGCTGAATTACTCCGATGGACTGAGGAATTGTCAAGCGACACTGGACACTATTAGACCGTGGGCCAGAAATCGTAGCGTGCAGAATCGTTCGGAGTTTTTGGTGGCAACTTTTTTTCTTTCCTAATGGACTCTTTTTGTGACACTGATTAATATATTTGATGTTGCCGGCAGAAAACCCGGCAAACTAATGTGAAAATCAAGGTAGAAAATTGCCACTTTCCCGTCGCGTCGGCGATGTTTTTTTGAACGCCGATTGAGGGCGGTATGTTGCAACCTCGAATCGGCGCTTCGTAGGCGATTTAATAAATTGCGTTAGTTTTCCCGGGGACGAGGACGTCAGGAGGAACATGGCGGCGCCCGTCGGCAGGACGTGCGTTTGCCACGTTGGCGAAGAAAGCGGTGAAATTTCACCATTTTCAGAGACGAGCTGGAAGAAGTTTGTAACTTGTTGTCAGCAATGGCAAGAATTGGATGGAAAAGAGAGGGAAGTTGCCCAAAAAAGCAAGGATATAGCGAAAAACGAACGACCAAAGGCCGAGTATGCATGGCTACCACCGGCATTGCTACACCAGATGTCATGGATGTGTAAGTTTCCAATTCCAAACATGTCGAATTTTAATTGTTATCATCGTAGTGGGGGGGGGGGGGGGGGCTATTACTATTTTTCATAAGGTTAATAAGTAACTGAAGTCATTTTTTAAAGCAAATAAATAGGTTGTGTTTGCTATTAGTACATTGAAAATAAAATAGGATTGGACAAACATGACAATTGTAATCCTTACTTTTAGGACACCTCTATTTTTTACAAGTTCTGTTCAAAACTGACTTTTGCAGATGACTGTCCAGTACCAAAGTGACTTTTGCAGGCTAAAGCAGTCTTTTTTCTTCATATAAACTCATGTTAGTTGTAGTTTTGAAAGCACTTTCGAAGAAAATGTGACTTTCCTACCTTTTTTCTCAGTCAGACGTGCATGTTGTAGTTCTCACACGCGTGAACGCCCTACATAATGAAAGCCCGATGCTGATTGGTTCCAAAAAAAAAAAAAAAAGTCTGGTTCCCAGACCAAAAGATTCTGACTACTCCTGAATCTTTTGGTCTGGGAACCAGACTAAAAATAAATAAGTTAGTCTGGTTCTCAGGCCAGAAGATACTGACTATTCCTGAATCTTTTGGTCTGGGAACCAGACTAAAAATAAATAAGATGTTTATTTTTTATCAGCCAATCAGCATCGAGCTTTCATCTCATCGAGCTTTCACGTTGGCCATCTTTGTTTTTGAGTCTGTTTTCTGGTTGTCATCGTCGTCTTTGACCCCTGCATTTCCCTCATAAATCAAAGCCCTGCCCTCGTTCCACAAAATTAAACCTGCTGATATTCAAGAAGGTGTCATTGCCAATCGTTCAGATGTGCCAAGAAGTATCAGAATGTCAATTGTTAGTGTCATTTAGTCAACTGTTTCGGTGAGTCTTTCCCTTCCTATATAGGAACGGGGTCCTAAAAGTAAGGATTTACCATGACAATGATTGATTGAGTATTTTGGGGGAAAGGTAACCATATTTGGCCATCACTTGTCACCCTTTACAGTCAGAACATATGAAACTGGTCTTAAAATTTGGAATTGTGTTCTCAGTAAATACTTCAATATTTTCCCTGCTAAGTTTTTAGGACTGATTTTTACTTTCTGATGATGGCTGATAGGTCACTGAAGGGAACAATTAGTGATGGCCAGATCTTGGAATCTTTCCCTTATTTGTTTCACACCGGCTATCGTTACAGCAGCTGTAACGTAATTGTCAACCTCTGTCGTTAGTCTTTATAGCATTTTCTGGTTCTTGTAATACTCAATGTTGGGATCCATGGCTGTAAGAGCCAGACTATAGACAGGTTGGTTTTCGGACATTCTGTATTTTTCTTTTTAAGAGCCACAGACATGAGGGATATCAATTACGAAGGGAAAAAATTAAATCTACTTCTACAAGAAGTATGATTTGATTACAAACATACTTTTAACTGAAACTTTCTGATCTCTATAATTGTTTAAATCCAATCAGCCATTTCATTGCCAAATATTTTATCTGTCTCGTTCTCATTTCAACAGATTCTGCAATGTATCAAAAATAAAGCGAGCAAAACTGAGGATGGAGAAGAGCTCAATTAGTGAAGGGGGTGATGTCGCAGGAGATGTAGTAATCGCCCTCAAGAGAAGACGCACAGGAGAGAAAGAGCAAAGGACCAGGCATGTTCTACCAGTGGAGTGCATCATATGCAAGAAGAGCAAATGGATCCAGCAGCCATATGGACCGCGGAAAAAAGAGCCACTCACAAACTGTGAATATGAAAAAGGTACAGTCATAATTACATGTACATGTATATAAAGTGTGACACCACCATAATGTCATATATATGGAAAGACATTTCCACATAATTGTTGAAACCACTTTGAACCAGATTTTTTTTTTTTTCAGGTGGACAACTTCTCAAGGCTGCTGAACTACTCAATGATGAATCCATCCTTCTTGATATTTAAGGTCAAGACATGGTGGAAATCGAAGTCCGGTATCACAGATCATGCCACAATAATTACATCAAGGTAAGACATTGAAGCTATCACCAATGTTGTGTTACCCCCCCCCCCTTAAAAAACAAACAAACAATGCAGAACCTTCTTCATCATAAAAAGTGTCCAGACGTATGGAATATTTTCTGTTGATTTAGAGAATGGTAGCTAGTCAATGTGCAAGGTGATACTATTTTCCTATTTTATGAAAAATTATAAAGTGTGTGATTAAAGTCAGATCACAGTAATAGTGCCCTTAACTGTAGGATATAGTGCCTTTAATTGTAGGAAATATTAGGATACTTAAAAAAATAATAAATAAATAAATAAATTTTATATGGGCATGCCATCACATTATATTCTTGTAAATTGGATAACTTAATATGCATGCACAGACAAATTTTCTGAACATTTCATGTTCGGCCTATATACCCATTTATGTTTTCTCCCTAATTAGACTTTTTTTCCCAATAAATACAGGGAGAAAGTATAATAATTTCATCATATCTTTTCCAAGCCTGATCATAGCCATCTACTTTTGTACAGGTTTTGCAAGCAAGTGATTGGCGGTCAAGCAGAGAATCTGAAAAGGAGAGTGAATCCCAAGAATACAAGACATTCTGTAGCAAATACATCGAAGAAAAAAATCATCTCTGAGGGGAGCGTCATGAGAATGACGAAGCTTCTGCACCTGTTAAGTCAAATGTCTGAAGAAGCTGGAGTACCACCATTATTAATTAATTACCACAAAATAAAACCTTTCCAAATAGGACATTGTTGAAATCAAATACTCTATTTCAGGTAAATGACATAATTCGGTAATCTGCAAATAAGTCTTTGAACTTCATATGTTATGGAAAACTCGGTGATATCTTGAAAAAAAAAATTGGGTGGTACAAAGTGTTGACTGTGGACAACTTAGCGTTACTTGTTGATAGTTTGAGAATTAGTTACCATTTATTGTTTGCATCAAGGACTTTATTTTAGGTAAATGAAATAAGTAAGTCTTCTTTAAATAGTTTTTCCTTTCATAAACATATAAGAACAAAACTTAGTGCTGTTATAATCCAATTTGTTGCAAAATTGCACAATTATTTATCATAATTATGTAATTATGTGATTATGTTAATTTGGAGAAGGTTCATTTTGGATTAATGACATAAATGTACATGTAATTCAATATTTTCAGCCTCACATGCAAAAATTCAGAACCTTGAACAAACTATTTATTGGCATAAAAACACTGAATATGGCCAAAGCGTTATTTTGTGCATAATTTCATATTTAATGATCACAACAATAAAACCATTAATATGACATTTTTCCTTGGCATCAATATAACAATTGTTTTAGGTTAGTTATATAATGCAGTCGTATACAATTATAGAAAAAGTCAGTCATGCCTTATATGGAAAAGTCAGTTATGTACGCCTTCTGTGCCAATTTGCAATAAAACATATATGAGCATTGTTTTTGCATAATTAAAGTACATGTAATTAAGAAACCACCTTGTATATGAACCTACAAGTCTATAGAGTTAATAATCATTAATTATTCTAAGTGGGTGACGATCTGCATTTGAATCGGAGTAGCCGTTTCTGAGAACTTTAAGGGGATGGATACCGCCATCGGTCGCTAGGGGCCCCTTAATATATTTTTTGGGGGATTAAACTTTGGACGGCGATTGTGACTAAACGTGCCACTTGGCAGCTCGGCAACAGGAAGAATTGAATTCAGCACCCTCGAATTGACAAAGAACAAGCATTTTTTTCTTGTCACCAAAAAATTTAACGGACTTCATTTTCTAGGAGAGATAGAATTTCTGGCCCACGGTCTATATGGGCAAGCTCGGTGGACAGAACAACAGCAAATGCCCGTCTCAGATTTTGGAGAAATCGCTGTGGGATCTTCGCAAGAGGGTCTATCACATTACAATTGTTGATGAAAGAGCTCCAATCGTGGATGATGTTGTGAAATTTGTGAGTACTTTTCTAGAAAAAGATAATGACCCTGCCGGCTGTGCAAGCGCAAATTAATTGCGCACTCTATCGTCTGAACCGTGCCAGTCGGAAATTGCTGCTATTATGACGTCATCGGCACCTTTTGTGGGTCGGGCCCATATATCTCCATATATACAGACGTTTGGCCGCGCCGAAGGCTTGTTTATCATGAATATTTACATCGAATTATCTTTGGGATGTGACTGGTGGATAAATGAGTATTAGTTCAAAGTGATTTCTTATTAAAATTATGTTATTTTCCCCTCATTTCCATATGTAAACATCGGGGCCCAATTATAGCGCTGCTTAACAGCCGATTTTAAGCTTTAATACCCAGCCTCAGTTTATTTCATAGAGGCAGTAAAGCCCTCCGCACAAGAGAGCTACTTGCTGAGCAAAAATTATTCGAGGCCGTTTGCTCGGCACGTAGCTCACAAAATATCCCCGTGTGCGGTGATTTTTGTGTGTGAGTTGTCTGTCTCGCGAGGCGATTTTTGTGCCAATCTTTTTAAGCCTGCTGGCGTTTGTCCCCATTTATTAAATCACGTGACCGATAAACAAGAATAGTGTAATTCATTGGTTACTTAATCTTTTTAGCTCAGCCCGTAGCTCAGGTTGACCGTCACGGTAAAGTTGTTCGCCGTGCGAACCCAAATTTAAGAAATCAATCAGGATAGATATTTGCCTCATGACCTCGCGAGACAGAAAACTCAGCAAAACTTCACCGCACACGTTGAGTTAAATGCTATGCAAACGGCCTCAAAATGGCTTTTTGCTCAACACGTAGGGTACCTATCGTACGCGTGTGCGGCGGGCTTTAGCAGTAAGCACAATAAAAGCATGCTTAAAACTCGTCCTGGATGGTATAGTTTTTCGATACCTGACCGGTGTCACAGCCGGCGTACTAGCTTCTCCGGGTGGATTCGGCGGATAAATGAGCACGTTACAGTGCACGTTACAAGAGCACGCTACATGCTCATGTGTCCACTGTGCTTATTCTTCCTGGGGCTGTGTGCTGAAGTGTACAAAGTCCATAAATAACACAGTGAAAGACACCCATTGATCTCCATTAGAATGTGTTATGTAACACTTCCTGTGGGTCAAGTCATTCATTGGTCTTGCAAGCAGACGTGTCACGTGTGTGTGTGTTCATGAGGGAATAAAAGGGCTAAGAACGAACTCCTTGCCCGTTCGTGGTCTTTTTGGTTATTGGGAGTTGCGCGCTACAAAAAATCTGGATTAGACTGGTACCCTGTAAATAACGTAAACATACAAATATCCCAAGATCTTACGTGCACCAGTACAACACCAAACTCAGCACACAAATAAAGTTGTCGAAAATGTACAGTACTGTGCAACTTGCGCATGCGTGTTGAGCGAAATTTCCCTGTAGGAGAAGCTAGCACGCCGGAGAAGTAAGACCGTGACACCGGTAATACGCTGTGCACAATAATGTATACGGAAAGCCGAGTGTGATCAACCGTGCGTATCCGTGAACAACGAGCACGTACACTGCAAGGACGGATCCAGAACACAATTTGAGGGGCCAAAAAAAAAAAAAAAAGTGGTTCGGCCCCCTAAAATTGGTTCAAAACAAATACGGCGTGGAGTTCGCGGCCCGCTTATAAGGGCCCCGAATTTTTTGGGGGGATTCTAGATGATCTGTGGTGCAATATGAGGCAATTTCTGACCACTTTAACACTTTAGGGGTTGTGTACGCAGTGCCTGCCTTTATTGCGACGTCACTTCAAAAACAAAGATTGGGTTCGTTTGGGGAGGAGAGGGGAGGGGAGGGGAGGGGATCCGCCCTTGTGACCCCGTGCGCCGTGCTCGAGAAAAGTGGTTTATAAGTGGTTTTGCTGAATAACTTCGTTTTTCATGACAAACAATTGTTCACCGAGCTTTCTGCTTCTAGAAAATACAATCTTGTAGCAACCGCATGTGCATGATGAATGAAATGTGTACTTGCGGGAATGCGGCTCTAGCCGTCTCCCGGCACATATCCTTTCTTCAGGCCTCGGCTATAGTCGCCAACAGCCAGCGAGGTGGGGGTTAACCCCAGAGGAAAAAAGTTGCTTAAGTCAGCGACGTCACAATTGAAATCTCTATCCGATGCACGAGGCGACGCACGGCGCGAAGCACGACGGTGCGCTGCAACGGGCAACGAAAGGGGGGTTATTGACGACAAACCGCGTCGCCTCTTCAATATACACGCGACGCGAGTACATGACGCGTTGGCACGACGTCTCCATTGCGTCGTGCCATCGCGTCGCACCGCCGCTCCCTTGCCTACTTTTATACGCACTCTGCATCTGGCATCGCGTCGTCCATTGCGCCGTGCCGTCTCGCTGATTTTATGCCAGGACGTTGCCCCTTTTGTTGCGCATCATGCTTATCGTCATGCTTGGCGTCGTGCGTCGTGTCGTGCGTCGCGTCGTACTTTGTGTCGTGCATCACGTTGTCCCTCGCGACTTTTATCGCGTCGTACCATCGCACTGTGCCCTGATCAAGGTAGTTCCCATCAAAATGAGGGCGCTCGATCGTGACGGCGCCTCTTCCATGTTGCTATTGTATGAAATAATATCTTGAAGCAATCCCAAGAACGCAGGGTGATGGGGCTTGACACTACCTGGTTAAAATTCGACTATCCCCGTCAACCAGACCCCTTACCTATTTTTCCGGAGGAGAAATCATGTTAACAAGTAAAATGGGCGACAAAAACGAAGCAATTTATGTACCTACATGGCAATTGCCCCCCCCCCCCTTGGCCCCCTCGCCTTCCCCTGACCAAGCCACGCTTCCTTAAGTTGAAGTGATTAGTTTCAACACCAAGAATACAATGCATTTTGCACTGTTTAAACTGTAATGAAAGTTTATGATATACTACGACGTGGATGCTAGCTTATCAATTTACATTTCGAAGATGCGAGTGAAGATCAAAAGGTTTTTAAATTGGATAATTGTTATGTTCTCAGTAATTATTGCATTGTAATTGATAGCTACACGTCACTCTAAATTTTGCAGCAAGACCTCCGTTTAAAGGGGCACTTCGTCCCGAAATCCTCGAAAGTTTCATGTTTCGGATTGTTTACTTATTCTATTTCAATCGTGGTTGAAGGGAAACTAACCTAACGTCTTACCGTTCCCGAGAAAAGACGACAAAAACCCCGGTTGTTTACATCGGACACGATGCGGTTTTTTTTTCCACGTCGTTTTCAGTCAATGTACGATACACGTTGTGTATGTCACACAAATTACACACAGCACCAATACACAAATGTAGTTTCTTACACGTCCGCCGAAGGTGAGCACTTTACGGCTGGAATCACAACTAGCATGAACAGCCCGACTTTTTGGGGTCGCAAAAGTGGAACCTGAAAGTCGTTCTCGCACGCATAACGCAAGAATTACATAAAACGCCCAGTTTTAGTTGTGTGGATGTTTAGATCCTAGTTTTATATGGTCTTTCCGATTAACATTATTTCGTTCAAAGTGCGCTTTGTAGCCCAATTGGGCGCTTTCCAGGACGCAGTGTCTCTGTAATGCTCAAGGGCAAATGCATCCACTCCACAACAACATCAACCTGTTTTCACATGAAGGCTTTTAACACAACTTACATTAACACAGCACTAAAATTATAAGGCCAGGAGCTTGGTCACTGTGTCCAAAAATGTTGTTTTGATCAATTGACCATTGTGCAGTGAGGGCGCGTGAGGAAATATTTAAAAAAATCTGCATTAAACAATTTCAAAATTTACTTTTGTGGTTTTGTAGTTATTTTTAAAATATTGAGAAGGACATTCGGGGATATTTATGCTGCAGGTGTTTTTTTATTCCATACCTATGGGCTGCATTTCCTGAATGCGCTTCCGCATATCTCATCTCATGCACGTCACGTCACGTACGAACATCTTTTTAAGCTCTGGTAGGAGCTTCTACGGGTGGTCGGTCGTTCGGTCGGTCTGTCCCCGAGAATTGACCAAAAAGATTGGACTGAAAATTGACCAAGTGCCATACCGTCGTCGGTAAATGCACTCTTGGCGAATGTTATCGGGAAAACGGGTTTTGTCTCCATCGATGCGCATGCA